CCCCACACCGGCCAATCACAGGGCAGATCCCACCAATGACAGGCTCCTCACCTCTACAAAGTTGTGAATGGCCTCCAGATACGCCAGGTTATTGTCCGTCACATCCACACAGATACAGAAGTAGAGGCCGGCGTATCGGCGGTAGATGATCTTAAAGTTCCTAAACTGTACCAGAGAGAGAGAGGAGAGAATATTAATGAGGGGGGCGGGGCAATGACCTCTGGGCATGAAAGGGTTAAACTCCGACTTTTCTGCAGATGTCTCAGGAAGACTGCACTGGGCACACAGGGATTAATTTCAGTGCTGGCCGAGCTGCAGCAGAATCATTAAATCTGTTGTCAGATGGGGTGGCGGAGCGGGGCCCCTGGATGGGGTGGAGCAGCGGGGCCCCTGGATGGGGTGTGGCCCGGAGAGAGAGGCGGATCCCTGACCGAGGGCGGCCCGGAGAGAGAGGCGGATCCCTGACCGAGGGCGGCCCGGAGAGAGAGGCAGATCCCTGACTGAGGGCGGCCCTATTGCCGGTCACATATTTTGACACTGGAAAAAAATGGGCGTGACTACATTAGAATGTGTGACCACGTGACCGGTCACACATTCTAACGCAGTCACAATCTTTGATAGAACACCGGCCACATGCTGATCCTTATCCCCCGTAATCCTCCAATCAGAACAAACCACTTATGAAAGCTCCACCCCTACTCCTGTCTGCATGTAAACACGCCCCTTATGGCAGCTCCGCCCCTGTCTATATGTAATCCCGCCTCTGCAGATCTCGGGCGCATTACCTCCACAAAGTTGGTGTGTTTGGCGTCTCGGACCGTCACCACGGCGTGAACCTCTTCAATCAGCTTCTGCTTCTCATCGTCATCAAACTGCATGTACCACTTGGCCAGGCGGGTCTTCCCGGCCCGATTCTGGATGAGGATGAAGCGGATCTGGAGGGGGAGGGGGATATGTATGCAGAGGGAGGAGAGGGGGATACAAGGTATCATATAGAAGGGGAGAATGTACAATGTATCTGCTGACTTCCCCTCACATCGCCCCTCATACAGGGATAATGTTCAGCACAAGGAATCCCACCCCTCCTCCTCCTTCACCCCGGTGATATTGGGGGTCCCCGGCACTCCCCACTCACCATGTCTGCCTTTCCTGTCAGCAGCACGGAATTCACACAACTACAATTCCCAGAAGACAGTGCGGGGAGCCGCCGGAAGTGACGTCAGCCGCTTTTCGCTTCAAGAATCTCCTCCTGCGATACAGACTAGTGGCGCTGTGACTCCGCCCTCCTGTATATGCGGGGCAAAGCCGGCAGGTGGCGCTGTGACTCCGCCCCCTGTATAGGCGGGGCAAGGCCCGCAGGGGGGGGCGCGACAC